GGAGCTCGAAGCATTTTAAGCCGTTAAGCACTGAAAATATTTCCATTGGCAGTGGGTTGGTGGGCGGGCATGGCTGGTTGGATAAGTGGTGCTTTGGCAACAGTGGTCACAATTATGGGTTCAATGTGCCCACTTTGCTGGCTGCTTGAGCGTATCATCTCCCAAAGCACTGCTTATCGGTTAGCTAAGTTGCCGGCTTAAGGCCAATGAGCTGCTATCGAAAATGAGAGAGTTTTGTGTTTTATGTTTTTCAAATAGGTTTTTCTCTTTAATTATATGTATTTTCCACATCTTGTTCATATTCATTTTCATATACATATTATGCACTTTATCATTTCTGTTTAATTTTTACAATTATTTTTGGTTTTCGCTTAACTAAAATGTACACATAACGCAAAAAACAAATTGCGAGCCGCTCGGCTCGACCAAAAGCCACCACAATGTTTAGGCATAGTCCATATACAGTCATACATATACATTTATATATATATATATATAATCAATAATCGTTATAATATATCTGTTTTGGGATTTTCTTCGTTTTGTATTGTATTTTGGTTTTTGTATATTTACATAAATTTACATTCATATTAAGCACATAAAGTACACAAAATGTCGTTATCGATATGTCGATATTGGATGATCGATAGCGTGATGGTGATCGATTTCATCTTGAACTCGATATATCGACATTTAGCCTTCAGATTATTTACTTTCGGTTATCCATACTGATTTTGATCGATGATCGATAATTCGATAAACTTGCTTTGATAGTTCGCTACGGCTATATTCACTGTACAGCATCTGCATCCGGTTGCCGGCTTTCGCTTTCGCCTCTTACTTAACATTTAGGTAGTTTAATTATTGTTCTCTCTGTCTCTACTGCTGCTGCAGCTGCTGCATGTCGTCTCTTTCTGTTCGTTCGGCTCTCTGCTTAAATTCTTTAACTTTTTTGACATTCTTTGGTCGCTGCGTTTTGGTTATTTACATGCTGTTCCTGCTGCTAAATGATATACATACACATATGTATCGTAGTCCATCGTATAAATTCTGTAGAGTTATCTAGCGGCTGCAACGGGCCTGCGCTTATATAAAAATAACATTGATTTTCTTTCTATGTTCCATTCTGTTCTCCTTTGTATATCTGGCTAATTAACGTTATGCGCTTGATGGGGCTAGACATTCGTCACGCCCAGCTTGGCCAGATTGCCCAGCGTAATGGCATCTCCGGGCTGCAGCCGCAGCGCCGCCTTGTAACTAGCCGCCGCATGATTTGTGCGCCCCAGCAGATGCAAAATGGCGCCCAGATTGGTGTGGGCGTGCGCATCATCGGGCCGTAGAGCTACAGCCTGCAAGTGTGAGAATTCGTTGTTATATTCATTTCCTCTTCAGGCTCACTTGGTGATTTCCTGCTTACCTTGCGATACCACAGCTCCGCCTCCACCTTGCGATCGAGCAGACGCAGCGAGGTGGCCGCTGCCACCACCAGGGCATAGTCCGTGGGCGCCAGCTCCGCGGCACGTCGATGATAGACGGCGGACTCGTGATGTCGCGACTGCAGCGACAGGAATTCAGCTGAAACAGACAAAGGAAAGGAACGAACATTCATTAGACGTTCATGGTTAGGCTAGAATTCGAGGTCACCCACCATAATGGTGATAGACGCTGGCCTGCTCCGGCGCCAGTTTCAGTGCGCGCTTGAACCACATTTCCGCCTCCGAGGCGCGACTGCTCTGCAGAGAAATGAAAGCCGCAATGTGAGTTGGCCAAAACTGAGAGATATACAACAAATGTCTACATACATTTCGTGCGAGTGTTATGCCATAGCTGAGGTGTGCCGCCACCTGGTTGGGCTGCAGCTCGAGCGCGGCGCGATGATGCCGCTCCGCCTCGTCCCATTGCTGCAGCCGGCCAAAGACGTCGCCAATGCGCTGGTAGAGCACCTCGCGCTGCTGCACGAGGGCGGGCAGCGAGGACAACGCCTCGCGGTAGGTGGCCAATGCACGCTGCAGCTTGCCCTGCTCCACATAGAGTGCGCCCAGCTGCAGATACGCCGAGCTTCTGGCCTGGTCGTGTGCGCTGCGATCGCGTACCGTTGCACCCTCCAGCGTGGCGCCCAACTGCAGAATTTCGATGGCCTGCTGACGCTTGCCCAGCGCAATGAATGATATGCCCAGGTTCAGATAGGCCACTGTAAAGG